ACAAACAAACTGCAGAGGATATGTTTTATCTAGTGCTCATAGAAGAGCTATATATAAAGTGACCTAAATGAGAGTTGGTCTGATGATCAAGAAGATTGGCAGATTAGTTACAGCCACTTAATCAACTGCGCAAGTGTGAACGTGAGCTTTTTTCTTTTCTGTATTCAATCTTAGCCTCTAATGACAATGAATAATGTTTTTTTATTTTTCTTTTAAAAAAAGAAAAGGAAAGAAAATTCAAACTTTTTGAATCGACAGAATATACAGCGTATGTCATTGAACAAAATATTAAAATACAATAACGTTTTCATATTTAACATATTGATCTATAGTAAATCCATTTATTTAAAAGGTATTATATGAAAATATTTTGCCATCACATATAGAGTGCTAATAACTTTTGCCAGGAGCTTTCAACTTAGTTAAAGCAATTGGGCTATTGCAATAAATTGGCCAGACTTTGTAAAGGACAGGCCTTATGGCTAATTAGGACTTTTGATCCCAGTGAGTTAATACGTGATGAAGAAAAATCCTGGATGTTAAATAAGGTAGTTGACCACGTCGCATGACATGATTTTCAAGTTTTCAGCAATATGGGCAGCCCGAAATTGCAACACTGTTTGGTCCACAATCCACATTTGGCTAAGAAAGATGAAAAGGTTCAAGCCTATAGACTTCTTCTTTTACAATGACAATTGATGGAAACTAGGATTCACACATGGCTGCTTATACTTCTTTTCCTCAATGATATTGGATTCAAGTAGGTTTCAGCATCACTACTGCTCTAGTTTGAGGTTAAAGCAACCCGTTTGCAGCTAAAGTTTTACTATCAAAAATTAAAATTCTTCACACCTAGTGTGTCTTTGACATAAATACCAATCTTTTGTATGCTTGACTTCTTTTTAATGTTTCGTAAAGACTTTGATATAATTTGATAGAAGACGATTGCATTTCTTGATCTTCAAGTCAATAATTTCTTTTAATTATTTGCAAGATGAAAATAGCTCCAAAAACAACTTTCAGAATACTACTGGATGGGGGTTCTGAGAAACCATACAAGTACACTTATCTTTGGCTTTTTTGAAAATTTAAGTCTTAATAATTCATTGAAAGTAGAATTACTGGTTCTATATAGAGGCACTATTTTATGCCAAGAGTATGATATACAAAATATCTAAATTGAGATAGATGCTTTGGTAGTGGTGCAAATGATCAAGACAGATAGTACAGGGTTACATGACATTCTATATCTTCTTGCTTCTATTAGAATATGCTTACATAAATTTTCTTATAGAATCTCCCATATTCATTGAGAAAATGACCAAGCTACTGATTATTTGTCGAACCATGGATATCTCATCTAAACTTACAGGTATTTGCTCAACCTCAAGCAAAATTTTTTGGCATCCTTAGATTAGATAAACTTAATTTGCCTTATGTTAGATTTAAATAAATATAAAAGAGTAGTACTCTTCACTTTTACTTTTTATGAATTTATTTTAGATCTACGTACATAAGTAAATTACTTATCTTATGTAATAGAAATAATTGTAAAGATAGTAATTCATATACTAGAAATTCTTTCTCCTCTTGCTTATATAATTCTGGAAATACGATTTTGTTCTCTCTCTATTGTATCGTTTTATTTTTAATTTTTAATAAAACTTTTACAGGATAGTTGAGTCCTATGAGAACTTTCAGTATAAAAAAAATCTTAAAATATTTGTTCTTAATTAAAGTAAAATATTGATTAAATTTGTTTAAAGATCTAGATTTCATAGATGGTAAATGAGTTTAATCCGACTCGATCTATTAAATCATTTAATATATGCTTAAAACTATTTTTTTATACATGATATTTGTTCTCTCATTTATTGCAAAGGCAAAAGGAGAAATGTTTGTTTATATTCCCATTACGACATCACCAAGCAGCAGCAGGGGAATCAAACCCGAGTCTGTACCGTGGCAGGGTAGTATTCCACCGCTGTACCACTGGTGCTTTCTAACCGTTGCCCACCTTAATCATTTTCAGACGGTTTTACAAGCACAATGCTTGGTTGCATAAGCAAATATTAAGTGCTGGAGGTTGAGCAATTAGGTGATTTGGTTTATCATATTTATAGATTAAATATTTTTAAAAAAATAGATCAAGATTGATTAAATATAATAGAAAATTAAATCCATCAAATATCGAATTGGTTCAATCGATTTAATTTTAAATTTTATTTTTTTATAAATTATAATATTAAAACTTAAAAACTTTATTCATAATTATAAAATAGACAAATAATCTAAACATAAAAAAAAATAAAACATTTGTTCCTTTACTCACAAAATTATATCTTTTTATATAAATTATCAAACTAACATTCAAGATTCAATATAAGAAAAAGTCATAGATAATAAAATTAACATCCACAAAATAAAACTATTAAACACAAAACCATTAACTATTGCAAATTATCAACTTGAATCTCTTCTATGACTTGGCTCTTCATATTCACTCACATAGACCATCTAATAATTGAAAGAAAATAAAAAATATAATTAGTATAAATTTGTTTTAATAAAAAAGTAAAAAAAGATTAAAAATGAAAAATTATGTAAAAAGTCATAAAATTTAACACTTACCTCAATTGAAGTGTGAAGAAAACATTTCTAACATCTTCGCTTATTAATCGTCAACAACGGAAATGAAATCCACAATCTCAATCTTTGGCATCTCTACAACGCATAAACAAAAAAAAATTAAAAAAATAAAAATGAAGTGAAAATATTAAATGTATATTATATTTTATATAAATTTAAAAGTTATATATCTATACATATAATTAGTTTAGTTTTTTGGTTGGTTTGATGTAAAAATTTTAAAACCGAGAATCGACAAAAAAATCAATTAGATTTTCCTTACTGTTGGATCAATCAGTCAGTTATATAATCGAACTTTCATTTTCCTTACTTTCCGTAGGTCTTCTTTAACAATATAATATTAAGCAATGAACAATGTAGACTCATATATAGTTAAAGATTTCCAATTGCGCAAAGATGATTGAAGCCATAGTTCATCAACGTCTCCCCCACCTGTGTTTGTCTTGTTAATTCATTTCTTCAATTTTTTTTTCTCATTTTTGTATAAAAGTGCAAAATTCAATTAAAACCTAATTAATTGTTAAAATTTGATTAATTCAATAGGTCGTTAAATACAGTTAAGTTGATTCAGCTCAATTCAATTATGAAAATTTCTTTTCAATTATTCGAACTTAAAATTACTGATAAAAAATGCAATTCATGGGGAATTGAATCCCCGCCACCTTGTTAACTATCAAATACTTTATCAATTTTTATTTTTTTTTTTGGAAGAGATGAGTACTTTATCAACTAAGTTAAGATAATTTGTTTTGCTTAAGATATTCTTCTTATAATTATAATTAACCCTTAATTACATATTGAAATATTTGAATCAAACTAAGTATTATTGTTTAATATTTGGTGAAAAAGATTTAATCATAACAAGCCATACAAATTCAAATTTTTAATTAAATATGGATGATAGAAAGTTAACATCTGAGTTTGTTTTCACTTTAAGTAATAAGTTGGAGAAGTTACAAATAAGATACTATTGTGGATTCCACCACTGATGCAGAGTATGTCACTGCAAGTGAAATTATAAAGGAAGCTACATGATTCAAAATTTTGTATTAAACTGTGGAGTTGTTTCCTTTATAAAATCTCCCATTACTTTTTATTGTAATAATAGTGAAGCCAAGAGCTCACTAGAAAACAAAGCACATAGAGCATAAAGTCCACTTGGTTCAGTCGAAAATGTGACAAACTCATTTGACTAAATCTTTTTGTCTTTTAAAGGTGTTGGAGAAGCACATGAAAGATGTGTTTGTTTAGTTTTAACAGCAAATAAGAGATGGTTACACATATGTCTCAAAAAACTAATTTTATTATTTATTTATTAGATAAATAAATGGTTACCTTAATTATTATTTTATATATATTATATTTTAATAGATATTTTATTCATTTATGACATATGATATGATCATAAAATATTGGACAATATTGTGGGAAAAACTATGCTAATAGTTGATAAACTATTAAGCAAGGTTGTAGGTTTTGGTTATGTGTTTATCAAAATTGTTCTAGATTATAAATGTGATAAACTATTTAAAATCTACACTTGTTATGTCTGTATAAAAAAATATAATGTTTTAACTCCACCATAGAAATAGTGACATTAAAGCAAACAGGTAAGTGTAATACATGAAATACATACATTGAATATGATTTAACTAAAATGCACCACATAAGCTTATCATTATCAATAATTAAAAGAGTTCTCGTACAATTTATTTATTATCGTTAGACTTAATATGTCAATATATTTTATTTGGCATTTATATAACTTTGATGTTATCTAAAGGTGATATTGAATTCAAAAGCTATATCTTGGAACGTTGTATTATGTATATATTAAATTATATTATATTGAATACTAAATAAAGAATTCACACATTCTTTATTGAGAAAAGATATTTAAGTTATTTTCATAAGATTGTTGAACTTAAAAAATTCAATCGATATGTTTTCTAAAATTATTTTATAATTATATTATTTATATTAATATTATATATATTTTTGAAAAAAAAATTAAAGTCTAACAAGAATGAAAATCATAATTTGATACTACATGAGTTTCATGTGATAGTAAAAATAAGTTATCCATAAAATTCATGAGAGAAATGACTATTAGTAAAAATAATAATTAAAAGGACCTCATCAATAATTTTTCTTTATAGAAGTTATTTGCGATGTGTGGATAAAAGTTATCACAATTAAATAGTAAATAAGTTTTCTTAATTAATTTAAGAAACTAAAATGTTATAAGTAAAATATTAATCATGAAGTGACATGAACTTGAACATATAATTGTAAAGAGATCCCTAAAGTTCACATGCATATTTTTCTTTTGTATGTGTCCTATATAAACAAGCAAAGAGTTACTACTTAAATGACCATCAAAATTAATTAGTAATAAATTTTAAAATTCTAAAAATAAGAGCAAAATGCTTGAATTGTTGTTAAATATTTTTATGTTTAATCTTCCACTTGTAATTTTTTTTATGATAAATCCTTAACTTTTATCTTAAATAAGAATTATTATTATTGAATTACCGATGAAACCATATAAAAACTACAAGTTTCAAAATATATATTAGAAGAACCCAACATATTTGTGCAAAAGGAGTTCTTTTATATAAAAAAAAGTATATAAATATTTTAAATGAAAATTTTGAAAAAGTTAAACATTGTATAAAATTTTGATACATAAATAAATTTACTTATCAAATGTATAATTTTCCGTAATGAGTGTTTGACTCTAAAAATAAGAACTTTTCTTACTTTTTCTTCTTTTCAACAATTTTACTTGTACTCTTCGGATTTTTATTTTTTCATGAAATATTTTTTTCAATAAAAAAAATATATTCCTTACACAGTTTTGAAAAGGAAAAAGGCAATTCTTCCTTATAACCTGAGGTTGGGTGCAATGGGCTTCAAATTCTAACATTATTGTAACGTTATTATTCACAAAAAATAAAATGAATTGACTATAATAATAAAGAACACAACAATAATCTCAAAAACAAATTGATGCACTCAAACATTTGACTCATTAATTAATGCATAATCTCCTACTTGAAAAGCAGAGTTTGAATCGTTATTCCCCTAAATCTAAAAAATTAAAAAACAAAAACAAACTGATGCACATTCCACAGTTTCAAGGGTATGGGCTTCTTCCATGAAAAGGGAAGAAGGATTTTATGTAAAGGTAAATCTGTAAACTCCATGAGCCACACAAATCGGCCTTATGTTCTGTCCTCCGGAAAGAGTTTGAAGAGTCAGGGCAGAATACACTCATCGCTCCACTTCTCTTTCCTCTCTATTTTCTGCTCTACCAAGCACACCAGAGCTCATTTTCATCTCTCCACTTTTGCACCCACACCTATCCACCCAAAATTCACGAGGTTAGATGCACTTTTCCCAGATTCCCAGTGTATGGCTGCATGCTTCTTTTTATCCATTTGCAAGATAAACTTATTACTTCAATTCTGGTTGGGTTACAATTGCATGTCACCTAGGCCTGACCAAACTCCCAAGTCGAGAGCTTAAGAGTTTTAACCAAAGCGTAACTTAAAAACTTATCCCTCTAACCAATCTTTGTAGTCGCTAGATACAATTAGGAAAATCATATCAATGCCATGATGTTCATAAAAGATCCACCATATTTTCAATGCATGATATGTCTATCAATTGAAGTATCCATTCAAGCCAACAGAATCTGAAAAGGAAACATTACCATGTATGAAAAAATTCAGTCAGAATTTTCATGGGATTGCTAAGCCGACCAAAACTGTCACCTTCATTCATGATTGGCTCAGCACAAACAAAATCCAGCTACTTGTTTTCATTCTTCTCCTTACTTACAAGACAGTTCTCTATTACCTCATCACAAAGTTCAAGAGTGGTTTCCATGTTCCCTTCTTCATAATTTATATCAACAAAAAACCTGTATATTTCTTCGTCTGCAGGCAGCCCTTCTCTTCTCATCTCATCAAAGATTTCTCTTGCCTCAGAAAATTTTTTCCTCTTAAGAAAACCTTTAATCAGAACATTATACGAGCTAGCTGTTAGATTAAATCCCTTCTCAATCATTTCTCTGTGTAAAAACCACGCTTCTTTCATATTCCTTGCTTTACAATGCCCTTTTATCAGAATGTTATAGGTGTTGCCATCAGGCATCACTCCTTGAGCACACATACCTTTGTACATTGCAGTTGTGGCACGCATGTTGTTTTTGATGCAGTATTGCTTCATAAGAGTATTATAAGTGGTTGCATTAGGCATTATACCCTTTTCCAGCATCCATTTTAGTAACCTCTCACCATCTTCCAGCATTCCAGACATACAAAAACCATTCATCAGCACATTAAACGTAACAAGTGTAGGATGATGTCCTCTATCCAACATCTTCTTCAGAAGGTCATAAGCCTTATCAATCTCCCCTGTCTTACAGTAAGCATCCATTAGAGTGGTATAAGTGAAGGCATCAGGATGGAGCACTGCAATCTCCATATCTTCCATCAGTTTAATAGCTTGTGCAATATTTCCAGCTTTACAGAGCCCATTAACAAGAGAGTTATAAGTAAATATATTTGGTTGAAGGCCCCTTCCACACATTTCATGAAGAAGCTCATTCGCCATATCCACCTCCCCACGTTTACAAAGGCCGTCAGCTAGTGCAGTGTAAGTGACAACATTTGGTATAAGCCCCATGTGTACCATCTCATTATGGAGAGAGAAGGCCTCTTTCATCTCTCCTGCCTTGCAATAACCATCAATAAGTGCTGTATATGTAACTTCATCTGGTTCCAACCCTATGCCAAGCATTTCTTGGAAGACATTACTGGCTTCTGTCATCTTTCCAGTTTGACAGAACCCACAGATAATAGATGTATAAGTTAATACATCAGGGATAATTTTTTGTCCCTGCATCTCATTTAACAACCTATAGGCAGAAGGAATATTCCCTAGCTTACAAAAACCACCTATGAGAGTTGTGTATACCACCCTATCAGGTTCCATTCCTTGGTTCATCATCTCCCTCAAAACCTTCTCTGCTTCAGCTACGTTATCAGCCTTGCACAGGAGATAAATTATACTGTTATAGGTATACGGGTTAGGCTTTAAACCTTTAGCTTGCATTTCCTCAATGAGCCTTAACACCCTTGGCAGTTTCCCTGCTTGACAATATCCATTGATTATGGTACTATAGCTTACAACATCAGGAATGCAGCCGCTCAACTCCATTTGCAGGAGTAAGCGGTGTGCTTCTTTTATTTTCCCTAATGTACAAAGAGAATGAATAACAATGTTGTATGATGCAGTGTTCCAACAAACACCGACTTCAGGAAATTCAATGAAAACCTTTATTGCCTTCCAAAGCCCATTAAAATGGTCTTTTAATTGATTAAGATATACATTACAAGAATCAACAGAGATAATCACCTTGTAATTCAACATCTGGTCAAAGAGCTTCCTTGCTTCATCAAGCATCCCAGCTTCAACAAGGACTTGAAAGAAAACATTAAACACATTGGGATCTGAACCCCAGTCCTTGTATGTGTAAATTAAGCGCTCAGAAAAATGATAGAAGGATAGACCAATATCCAAATTAGGTTTTGACCAAAAGTCCCAGATAAGCTGATGAGCCATTTTTAAATCTTTAGAAGCCACAGCAATTTGGACAATAATGCAACGGGCTTCAAGTGTTGGGTCCCTACGCAAGCATGTCCATTCAAAGAAATCCAAAACAAGTCCATAATCACCCTTAATGTTCATCAGAACCCAAATTAAATGATCAGATCTAAACTTGGACTCATAAGGCCTTAGAACACGATAGAGTGGCTCAGAACGACGTAATTTTATTGCAGTTGAGATTTGATGCACAAGTTCTGACTCCTTGATGGTAGGTTTCTTTGGGCAATAACTGGGAAAAGGCCTGGTGGTGCCAGAGTCTGAGAAGTAGAGTATCTGGCCCAAATACCTTTTGAAGAAAAATGGCCAAGAATATGGGGCAAAGGTTCGGCGGTAACGATGGGAGAAGAGATGGAAATAATGGCTCAAGGAAGAGATAGCACACCTGTTCATCTTTGCAGGTGAAACCCATCACGAGAACTTTTAAGAATCCTTGATCAACAAGACAAAAGCTCCTCTCCATGCAGAAGAAACAGAGAGAAGGAACTTTCTCATCACGCCATCATATGTAAAATACAAATTATCATGACAAAATCTGCAGATATTAGAATAAAAATAAATGTATGTCAGCATAGCAGCCATATCAAATCAGTCAAACCACATTTTGAGCTATGGTTTGTTATCACTAACTGAGTTTGAATGCCCATTACAATCATCAACAGGCAATACAATATGTTAACTAGTTCGCCATTCTCTTCTTGTTGAAACTAAACTTTGTACATGGAACCTCGCATATCAATTTAGAGTTAAACTCAATAGTGAAACAATGATCCAAGTCAGTTCTTAGAGAGTGGAGCTTCAAGCCGATCATTATATTGGCTAATTGTTCAGCAAATAACTGTAAAAATCTTAGTCCACCTGTATGAATTGCTTAATCAATAATCTTTATCTAATGCTTTTGCAGGCGATGAAACAAAGAATATATAAATTAAAGCTATTCAGACAGTGAAATAAGAAGTACCCCTATGTTCTGATTTTAGCAAGCTTACTAATCTCAGTGAAGACTGCTACTCCACTGGGTTTCCTAATAAAATGGGGGACAAGAAGAAACCCTGACAAACAAATACGAAACAAATGTACCCTTTTTATCTTATACCTATATGAATTACTTTCCATAAGCTACTCATCGAGCACCAATTCAGTGAACTTTAGATTCTTTACTCTAAGCATTTGCATACAAATCATATATATTTCCAGCGCAAAACAATAATTTTAATAACTCTATCACTTATTTGCCCCATCGAGAGAAACCCAAAAACGGAGGGAACCACACTTCGCTGCAGATTTTAAAGAGGACTTCACAAAAAAAAAACCAAAAGGAAAAAAAAAAAAAAAAGGCCATGCCAGAGAGAAGAAAATAAAGAAAACCCATTAACAGGAAAATGTAAGAAGGTGATACCTTGAAGCCGATCAAAATCAGCAGCAACCTGCTTTGTTTGGTTTTCTAATTTCAAAGAGGTAAAACGATTATGCCTCGGCTGTTAAGCTAAACAAGAGACCACTATTCAGTAGGGAACAAAACAATGCCTTTACGTAGGAGAGAATGTACCGCGGGCTCACGTTGGGGCTTCACCATCAACACCCTTCGGTAACTTTGCTTTGTCATGAAGCCCATCTGGGCCCAAGAACATAGCAGCCAGGCCTTGCTTTCTGTTTGAAATCAAATCAATCGAGTTATAGTAAGCAAATAATCAAATCGAACGGGTTCGATCAGTTATTTGGATTATGACTAATTTTATTCTCTGTTTTTTAACAATTTAGAACGTTTCAAATTAGGGCATATTCCACCACAAATATGTCAGATTTGAATAGAGAAATTAGAGCAAACCGTTCTTCTTCAGTCACCAAATGAGGCACAATATTTAAAAACCCTAACTTACAACGCCTCCCTTTTATTTGCTATTCATTCTTTATTTTTTGCTTTGTTTTTTAATTTTGTGCAAAAACAACAAATAACAGAAGTATCAATCAAAAGAATCTTAATTCATTCTTCCATCTTACTACAAATCAAAATAATGCAACAATCAAGAAAAAGGTAAATTAGAAATCAAAATGGGTTTAGAAAGAACGGATTTAAACTCTCTAAAAAATAAGAAACAGAAAGGAAAAAGGACAAAAACATATTCAAGTGGTGCTTTCTTATATTTTATCTCAAAAACTTGTATATGGTCCAAAAATTTACTTATTAGGAGTGTAAAAATTATTATGTTGATTTTGACATTGGATATTACAAACTACTATGTTGGATATTTTTAAAAAGTTACGTCTGATGAAAAAATCAACAATTGTATTTGTGAGAGTTATGTCTCTTTAAAATAAATAGGTGTGACTGATTGAAATAGACACAAATTGTGTCTGTTGGGAATAGACATCTAAGTTTGTAAAATATCATTATTTAGACAATAGAATTAATAATAGAAAATAATAGCATATTTCCTTTCTTTTTTAAATATTTTTCAAGTTTTCTTCTATATCATTTTACTGCAGAAATATTATATATAAGTTTGATAATCTTGTCATACTCCGGTGAGTGTTCAGTGAATTGATTCTGTTAATGCAAACTGTCGTCAATCACTAAGTTTTTTTATATTTTCGAGATTTATACACTGGTAACTCTTTTGCATACTACAAGTGAGGCAAATAAAACCTTGATAGAATAAAGCTTATCAAGGAAATGCTAAATTCCTTTAGTAACTTAAGAATAGTCTTAAGATTTTCAAAGGAAAACAGACTTAATAATATATTTCCTGAATGTTGTCTAGAATCAAATAACGAAAGAAATGGGTGTAACAGATGTCATCTTCAGAATTAATATTTCGAGATGAAAATAGCATAATTTTGTCACAATCACACTACATTAAAAGGTACTTAAAAAGTTTGATCATAGTCATGTTATACTAACATCTACACCCATGGATGCTCAAATTAAATTTATACCTAATGTTGGTAGGATTGTTGATCAATTAAAATATGAAAAAGTAATTAGTTGCTTAATATATGCAATGACATGTACAAAGCCAGATATAGCATTTTCTATTAGAAAGTTAAGTAAATACATAAGTAATCTAAGTATTTTACATTGGCAAGCCATGAACAGAATACTATAGGTTTTGCTATAATAAACATCCATTAGTACTAGAACAATATTTGAATGCTAGAGCAGATGGATCTTCATACTTGGTGGGGATGCCATTTCCAAGAAACAGACGTGTATAACGGATTTTACTATAGCAATCGAATTGATTGCATTGACTATTACCACCAAGGAAGCTAAATGGCTTAAAAATTTACCTTATGGTGTGCCTTTATGGCCTGAACCAGTTTTTTCAATTTTTATCCATTTTGATAGTGACACAACTCTAACAAAAGCATATAACCAAGTGTATAATAAAAAGTCTAGACATATTAGATTAAGATATAACTATGTCCAATAATTAATTTTTTATGAAGTGATCACTATAACTTTTGTAGGGTCTAGTGAAATCTTGACGAATCTTTTAACAAAAAGTCTTGCTTGAGATCTTGTAAATAAGACTTTAAACAGGATGAGACTCAAGCTCATAAATTGAAAGTCACCCAGGTGGAAACTTGACTCAATGCTTAGTATAATGTCAAGTCAAAAGTTCAATGAAACAAAAAACATAATGTGTATGTTGCTGCTAACACTATAATATGATATATTATAGTCCATCCCAAGTGCTAGGTACTCATAATGGTCAGGAAATAATGAGTTATATATCTTAATAGATCCATAACATAAATTTGTTAAATTGTTTTAGTTAACAAGACGTTCTTGATGGGATCTACTTATGTGACTGTGAAGTGTGGCCATTTTTGAGAGTTCAAGAGCTTAACTTTAACAGCACTCATGAAAAGAGGATACAGACAGATAGCCATAAAAGTATCATTGAGTACGACGCATTCATTGGCGTTGAAATCATTGTACGAGATATGTTTGGTTAACCAAATAGAATGGCTCGTACAAAGTATAGTTTAACATGTAATTTCGATTAATTTTAGCATGTTTTCACTAAGTAAAGGTTCAATCAAAAAACCCCTTTCTTTATGCAATTTAATTTCAAGATTATCAAAAATTTGAATTAATTTGAAAATGGTGGAGACTGTTAGACATTTTCAAAAAGTTAAGTTTGTTGGAAAAAACCAATAATTATATCTGTTGAGAAGAACCAAGAGTTATGTCTATTTGAAATGAATAGGTGTAAACTATATCTCTTGGAAATAGGCATATAAGCTTATAAAAAAGACCACAATTTAGACAACACAAAGTACAACAGAAAACAATAACGTCTTTTCTTCCTTCCTCAAATATTCTTTAAGTTTTCTTCTATATCATTTTGCTGCAAGAAAATTACATAAAAGTTTGATAATCTTGTCATATTTCAGTGAGTGCTCAGTGAATTGATTTCGTCAATGCAAAATAACGTCAACCATTAGGTTTCATTGTATCTTTGAGATTTATACACTGATAACTCTTTTACACACTGTAAGTGGGGCGAATAAAACCTTAAGAACAATAACATTGATACACGCCTTGAAGCCAATTTCTACATTTTCTAATTCGATGTTCTAACATGTTATACTATACATCACCAATTAAGACTTTAAACTTCTCAAGTGTCATTAGAATGTCATGACATGTTTTTTTGTTTATTATCATATTAATTAATTGATTTTTTAAATATATTTTAATAAGATAAGTGACAACCCTCTAACCCTGTTTTTGAAATTTAAAACTTCACTTACGGTGTATTAGATGATAATTAATTTCTTAATTTATTACTTTTTTAAAAAAATAAATTGGAACTTAAACTTTTGAGTAAAATATGAGGCATCTACTCTTAATTGCCCATTTGATTTATTTTATCTTAATTAAAAGCTTATGCTTATATAGACTTGTTTGAAAGTGGTTATATACAACATCTTAACAAATATTTCTTTTGAAGACGTTGGTTATTCAAGAGACCGCCAAGTGAACAAGACTGTACACTTTAAAGCTCAATCATTTCAGTATTTCACTGATTAATATAGCTCGTATCAGTAGGCCGTAGGTCTTCTCGACGCATCAACAAAAAAAATATTGTGTTATTACGATTGAAAGCTGCTCAATGCTTCATCTTTAGCTCACTTATAACTGGCACCATAATTTTGTTTCTAATTTTTTACTCATAAAACTCTCATGGTTGCCCTACTCAGCACAACACACCCATTAATGTTCTTGTTAAACCCAAAAAAAAAAAAAAAGCAAAAGATTGTCTCCACTCTCCATTTTGAAGCATAATTTTTTCTGCTAAAGTTCCTCTTAATTGAGATGCCTTATGCTAGTTGTATTCTGGTTTCAGTGGAGCAGTATTTGATTAAACTATCTATTCTGATAGGCCCCATGTGATGGAGTGGCGATTCCATATCTCGATTAAAGAGGGAAAAAGATTCCTTCTTCATCAAGCCATAAATCATTTACTATCTTGTCTCTGCTCACAAGCTTTCATCAAACCTTAATCATATATAGGATTTGTTTGATACTACTGTTAAAATAAAAGCTGTTTTAGAAGATGAAAATTGTAATGGACTACTTTTGTGCTTTTAGAACTTGGTAATGTGATAATAAAAAGGGGAAGGAAAGTGCTTTTATATATATTCGACCACATCTCATCTCCATTGCCTTTTCCTATCCTTCTTGTTAATCATGTTCTGCCTGAGTGTCTACTCCTTTTCATCATTCATTAATTACAAAGACAAATGCTCAAGTCATGGACCTTCATTAATTGTTTTTAATGGCTGCCCTTGTTTGCAGGGTGGAGGGTTAGGTAGGAGCAATATGAAATATAGGAACTTTTACAAAAGTACTTGTTCTTGGTAACTCTCATGCACCGACAATAGGAAGGCAGGCTTTCAATAGCTTAAGAGATGAATCACAGCGGTCAAGAAAATTGCATGGTTGATTACATGCACAAGCTTAGTTGTTGCAAAAGCAAAGAAAGTAGGAACATTTAACTAGTTGGAGATTTCAAATCGAAGTATTGGGATTGGAATATGTCTAAAATGTTTCTCTTAATTAATTATATTCTCCAAGTGTAAAGCCTAAACCTTGTCCGAGAGTGAAGTAGAGACTTTGTACCTTTATTGTATTGTTTTTCACATAAAATTTCTGTGTCGCCTTTCCGATGAATGTGGATCAATGTGTCTATTAATTGCTATGCCCTGTGATTTATTTGAATGTTGATTCAGTGTCCTGATTAGCACATTGGCAGAGAGACTAATTAATTCCAATGACATGTGATGCCCCATTTAAAGTAATCGAGGGTCAACTTATGCCTGCCTCCTAGCCAAAGCATGTGAGATTTGATCATCCAACAGACCAACCCTCCAATATTTTCACCAACTTAATTGGAATATAAGCACAGATTCCTTGTCTCCTAACTGGTAATCTTGAATATATACTAGCAACAGCACTATATATATATATATCAATAACGCGGAAAACCGCCGGCTGTGCACATGAATCATATACACATTAAACCTGTTTCAGAACCTTTGAATTTAAATACCTGCAGTCATAAATGTATAATTTGCTTGTTCAGGGGTTTCTCTCGCTGTCTGCTTTACCGTGGAAGTTGATTTTGCTTTGACACTAAGGAAAAAACCATGTACTACTTTGTTATGGCTCATCTCGTGCACAAACTTCCTCCAAGTTGGGGTTTGTTTTTCGTTGAAAAAGAAAATCAAACAGTGGGTGATTGTGGAAACTCTCTCTCTACTTTTTTTCTCAATCTTCTTGGCAGGCGAACCAAGTAATCTTGAATCACCAAATGGAACTTTAAAGTACATATAAGAAGTCATCATCCAACTGCAACGCCAGCAATAGTTAAGAAAACAAGGCATCTAATTATAGGGAAAAGCAAAGGTCCCTTAAAGCTAGCCAACCTCACACCGAAAGTCATACAACCAATCCCCATAAAACAAAAGCGCATGATGCTTCCTTCCATCTCTCCCTATATCTTTCTCCCTATTTCACTCTCTAAAGGCAGCACTCATTAGCTAGCTGCTTGCTCAGAATAATATAATACCAATTCCACACTGCTCTCTTTCCCTCTTCTTCCTTAATTGCTCTCACACATCCCAAACTTTCCTCTCTAATTCTCCAAGCGTAGCCAGAAAAATGAAGCTAAAACGCTGTTTCATTACTCTCCTCCCCTTCATCTCTTTAATCTTTCTTCCCTCTTTGGTCTCATCTCAGGCCTGCCAAAGAAACTGCGGTAATCTACCTATCAAGTACCCATTTGGAACTGGCCCTGGCTGTGGTGACCCACGCTTTCAGCAATACGTAACTTGTGACCAGCAAAAGCTCACCTTGACGACACACACTGGCAACTATCCAATTACCAACATAGACTACAGCAACCAAGTCATATACATCTCAGATCCTTCCATGTCAACTTGTGCTTGCTCTCAGCCAAGCAAAGGCTTCGGCCTCGATTGGGATGCCCCCTTTTCTTTCACAGACGACAATGTTTTCACTCTCCTGGACTGCTCAACCACTTCGTCGCCTATTTTTAGATCAAATAGCTATAATGTTGACAACAGCAGTGCTGTTCCCCTATGTGACAAACAAGGTGCTCCCATTTGTAGTTACTTGTATTCTTGCAGGGCAATTAGCATCCTTAATCTCCCAATATCCACGTGTTGTGTTTATACACCAGTGGATCTCGGCCCATCCTTCGAATTGAATTTGCAGAAGTTGCAGTGCTCTTCATATTCTGGATTTTATAGCTTCAGTGGCCAGGAATCTAACCCTGATAACTGGATGTACGGAATATCACTTAAGTATAAGTTCAATGTGTATAACGACTATCCGAACTCGTGCGCAGATTGTGAGAAAAGCTATGGAGTCTGTGGTTACACTGGAACTTACAATTCATTTGTTTGCAACTGTCCTAATGGCATAAACACGACATCAACTTGTTTCTTTGTATCATCGTTTAGCAACGGTTTGAGACTACTCCCCCTTCAGACAGGTATTCATTACATGTACATTTTCCTTTTCCATTTTACGAAGTCAAGCACCCACATTTTTGGTTTGATATCTGCAAACTAAAATGGTAGTTTTCTTGCTGTTGCAGGAACTTTGTTCATCTATTCTCTGTCATGGATTCTGGCCATGGTCCTGCTATAGGCGCCAATTAGTGAAGGACAAAATTCCAACTTCCAAAATGAATTAAAATACTGAAGTTTGACTTTGCTTGGTTGTTTCTAAGACTTCTGCAATGCGAGAGGACAAAAAGTTCAACTTCTCACAGTTCTGATAAGAAAAAATGCTTTATTAATTGTTGTAATTTATCTTGAGATGGAAGAACTGTGTAAAAGACAGTAGTTTCATTTTGCTTTTTCCCTTTGCGTCTAGACGGTGGATATATGAACACTTCATATTCTTGGGGATGAAGTTACTTTCATTTTGTACAGTAGCCAGTATATTACTATATTAAGTGATTAACATCACCGGTCCATTCATTAAAGCAAACTAAATTTATAGCACTTTAGAGCGACAATGATCATTAGCTTATCCTAACATAAGAATCAGGTTAAAAAGCAGAAATTGAGAGAGCCCGGAGGGTTTGAGAGTATTAAAAACAAGATCATGGGAATAAGGTTCCTTCTTTTGAGCTCATCATCCACTAAAAGAGAATCGCTTTCACTGTAAAGGTTCTTTATTTGTATCTATATCCATAGGCAAGCTCTAGAAAGTGAGAAAGGAAGATTTATGCCTCCAGTTTATTCTCTCCTCATTTTGTGTCCACTTTTTGAAGGCAGATAACGGGCTTTAAGTCTTTAACCAACCTTATTACAACCACACATTGAAGAGTTATAGGCAGCAAGCATCAACAG